AAATATAAGGTTAAAACGGGAATAAACGGGGAACGAAATATCATTCGAATTCTTCAGCAACCGTTTTGACACATGATTAAACACAGGTGAAATCGACTAGGCTCATCGGGGAAAGGAATGCTTCAAGATCCAATACAAGATTCCTCCCTTAGTTCAATCTAAGTCCCTCCTGTTCGTCGTCCAAAGCACCGGTTATCGATCTCCCTGTTCCCTTTCCTTCCTCAATCGATTTAAGAGCATTTTTCAGCCGGTGGATTAAAAGTTAAGTCGGTCTTTGGTAGGACTTGGAGTGGAAGGACTTCCACACGGCCTAATCCTGGATGATCAGTTTGAAAAACAATGAACAGGCTCCTCTCTAACGCCATCAGAAAGAATAACAACTTTTTTTTTATCGACGGTTTCAAAACTTTGTTTGAAAATCGGCCGATTCCCAACTTATTTTCAAGTTATTTCGGACCTTTTTTATGACGCGAGGTACCGCTTGTCCACGCCTAATTAGGCCGTCTCATCCGCTCGGTCCCCGCCATAAATCATTCCACGGTTTCTTACGCCGCCACCGCTGTGGGATTAAACTGTTTTTGATAGGGCTGGCGCGCAAAAAAGGGCCGCCTGGGTTTGAATAAGCAGGCAAAAATGGATCGAGTTTAAAGGGGGACGGCGACGAATCGCTCCCTCAGTTTAGTGCGGTAATAAGATACGTTCACAACCTCCAGGCACGTAACCATATCTCTTTTTATGCCATCGTAGTGAAGGCCCCCTCGGGGGAGGGTTTAGGCTTGTAGGCGTTTTGAAACATTCAGCTCCATCACTCACTCGTACCACTTATCAACCATCGATTCTTTTTCCCTTGTAGCTGTACTACATGAACAATAAATCTAACCAAGAATACAAGGCCTAGAGACGAGCTTTGTTGTGAAGCAAATTGCATTTTGATCTATCACACCTAGCCAGTGACGAATCGTCGAATAAATTCACGAATAGGAAAGGGTAATTTCCTCGACGTCAAAACCTTTTTAAAGATCGCAAGTAGTCCATGATTTTGATATATATTTGGTCAAAGAGTTTTTGTTAGCACCTAAAATAAACAATTTTTTCTTTAAGCAGGGAAATCACCCGAGCAACGCTACCCGACGCAAATCCAAAGTCCATTTTTCCATAAAATTGTATTACCCCCGTGTACATCTGCATGATGCTATGCTACGCTACCCTACTCTTCGCTCTGCGATCCCCACTGTCCAGATTTTCGTCGGGTCGCATCGAGTACAGTCGAAGAGAAAAGAATCGGACACTCATATTTTTATTCAAACTACATGCATTATTGTCATTTTATTAATTACAACATAATTATTTTAATATAAACCAAATTAACTGAGATCAAAAATTCATTAGTTTTTATTTAAAAGAAATGAATTTTAATGGTTTAGTAGAACATTGATCAAAACATCGGAATGCCATTTTTTGGTATAATGAATTTAACTAACAATTTATTACACGGTTTTATTCGTAAAATTTAACTAACAATTTATTTCATGGTTTTGCTCATAAAATTACACCATTTTCGTCGAGTAGCGTCGCAAGAGGATATTCATATTTTTTGTAGTTTATTTCAAAGTAAGTATATGTAATTTTATCGTTATAGTAATAACAACATTCGTACTGTAATATAAACCAAATTAACCGAGATAAAAAAGTCATTAGTTTTTATGTAAAAGATATTAATTTTGATAGTTTATTAGAAATTTGATCAAAACATCGGAATGCCATTTTTTGGTATAATGAATTTAACTTATTACTCTAGTTAATTTATTACTACTACTTAATTTATTACTCGGTTTTACTCGTAAAATTTAACTGACAATTTATTTCATGGTTTTGCTCATAAATTTACACCATTTTCGTCGAGTAGCGTCACAAGAGGACACTCATATTTTTTGTAGTTTATTTCAAACTAAGTATACGTAATTTTATCGTTGTAGTAATTACAACATTCGTACTTCAATATAAACCAAATTTACCGAGATGAACAATTCATTAGTTTTTATTTAGGGATGGTTAGGATAGGTTAGTTGTATTATGTTCATGTATCCGCAAATTACATATTGTAAATAATAATTATAGATTGCAATAAAAATTTAAAAAAAGTTTTTATTTAAAAGAAATTAATTTTAATGGTTTAGTAGAAAATGGATCAAAACATCGAAATGCCATTTTTTGGTATAATGAATTTAACTAACAATTTATTACTCGGTTTTACTCGTAAAATTTAACTAACAATTTATTTCATGGTTTTGCTCATAAAATTCCACCATTTTCGTCGAGTAGCCCAAAGAAAAATTCATGTTTTTATAAAAATTATTTAATTATGAAGAAGAAAATTTATAAAAACACCGGAATAACTTTGTTTAAAACAATTACGTTTAACAAACAATTTATTACATGGCTGTGCTCATAAAATTTACTAACAATTTATTTCACTGTTTTCTCATAAAATTGCACTATTTTCTATTGTCGGGTAGCATCAGAACAGGACACTCATATTTTTTGTAGTTTATTTCAGACTAAGTATATGTAATTTTGTCGTAATATTTTAATGTAACCCCAATCAAAAATTCATAATTTTTTATAAAAGTTATTTAATTGTGATGGTTAAGAAGAAAATTTATAAAATCACCGGAATAACTTTGTTTAAAACAATTAAATTTAACAAACAATTTATTACATGGTTGTGCTCATAAAATTTAACAATTTATTACAATGTTTTGCTCAAAATAGTGCATTAAGAACAAGAGTCGTTGCGATTGTGATTGTGATACACGCTGTGTGACTGTACGTGGCGTGCGCTTGACGTCGCATAGATGTGCACACCCTACCAAAACGCGGCAAGGCGTCTAAATAAAAAACTAAATCACAACCAGTAGTTTGCCGTATCTGTCGATTAAAATCTGGATTCCCTTACAATCGCACATTTTATTTGCTAACTGTAAATACGATAAAGCAACGACAACCATATCAAAATCGTACAAACGATGCTTTTGCCTTTTGCTTGGAAATTACACGAAATTACACTTGCAGGAAAACAATAGCTAAATACATATGTTTCAAAAGAGCAAAACATATACTTTTTAGGAGAATTTGACGTCACTACGAAATTTTCTCTGGAAGGGGTAATTAGTCTTTGACGAAAATATTTTGTTTATCTATATATTTTGTAGGTCTTTCTAATATAATAAATATATTATTATCTTTTTATAATTGCAGTGTTATTTATTCTTTCTTTCTTTTTTACGAGGGTTCGCAACAGCAGAGATTATATCAACCCTCTGGGTGTCGGTGTTTTTTGAAAAAAAGCCCATTTGTAAGTATGTCGGGTTCGAATGCTGGGCCGCTGGATTTGAACCCCGGACCTTTACCTTACAGAGATGAGCGCCGTGTCAACGACTAAACGTTGCGGCCACCGACGCCCCCTGTGTTATTTATTATGCTCATTTGTTGTACTTATCAGGTTTCTCTTCAGAAAATATCTTTTTAAAATGATTGTCTAAAATACAACTCATATATTTATATCAAAATGAACTGGAGATTGTAAGGTACTTTTTCAATCAATTTTTTTTTTAATTTTGGGGGTATGGTCTTAAGACAATAATTAATTTTATTATGTAAAAAGAATTTCCAGTATATGGAATGGACAATGTTTTAACCTGTCAGATGTCTCTTTCTCACCATATCAAAGGTTTAACGAATCCATTTTTGTCTCAACTGGAATGCCATAAATTTAGCATTGAAGGCGTTAAGGAGCCGAAATTAGTCAGACAAAAAAAAGCAATAATGGCCAGGCCAAAATTATTGTAAACGAACAAACTATTCATCCCCGCAACACCTTAAAACAAACTTACCAGAAATTAAAACCAACTCTGTTAATACATCAAAAATGAAACTCTGAAAAAATTGCTCGAATGAAAAGCTACTTTTCATATTACAACTTTTTAAGTTGGAAAGTTGGATTTTTTTAGTTTGAAAATAACTTATGATCAAATAGTACGTAAAAGTTCAATAAATTAGGCACTACTTAGACGATACTAGGTAATGGACAAGGCGATGCCACACGGACCCAAAATGACAACTTTGTTAACATGATAAGGAGGTGGTCGATGTGATTCCATTTAAACAATCACGGAAAATCAATCACTCTCAATTAACAGGCCATTAACAAATTACCACTTTCTAAAGAGGTCTTTGGATTAAGCCAAAACCCGTCTTTTGTACTTAAGACGCGAGACAATATGATAATATTTTTACATGGTAAATTGTGTACAAGTGAAGTCTACAAATTCAATTGTTTTCGGAACATTCGTAAGTTGTGCTATTCCAGTTGTTTGTTCAAGTTCACGGATGATAAACTGTCTAGTTTGCAAACTCAATTACCAAATTATCAAAACAAATTTCCAAGTGATATTAAACGCGTATCTTTGGATCATTCCTACTATAGAAAGGGGGGGAATATAATTTCACGTGTCAGAAAGGTCGGAGATTCTCCTTTGTTATACAGGAAAGGAAATAAAGGACCTTTGGGAAACGTTCCGACCTATGACTCTTAGGGTGGGCTTTTCCAATCAATGGACGATCATCCAATAATATCGTAGACTGTAGCATTACTCTGTTGTCTGGGGGCTCTTCTACTATTATTGGTTGTCTCGTGTACAGGAAATGACGTTTTATCAGATTACACGTTGAGCTCTTTTCAATTTTTTTCTTACCCCCTTCCAGGGCGGCCCACTCGTCGTATAAACCCACCCGGGCCCAGGCGTTCCATTTTCATGACTCCGCATGTAAACTGTACCTGTAAGGCCGAGGGCTGTTTTTTACCTCCTCATTTAAATACCGCGGGTCGACTCGGGGAAAAAGAGTATTTCTTTTTTACGATTCTTTACTATTTTCGAACCTGCCTTTTCTTTTTAACGTCGGAGGGAAAAGCAAAAGGAAAATAAATAACGGTTACGTACCTCTATGCCGATTGGTCTGTTTGTCAAACATAAGCATAGCATCCTCAATCTGAAAAATAAAGAAAATTATTAGTTTCACTGTTTTGTCATTGGGACATCACAAACGTATCAAACCGAATTGTTACGAAGATTTAATTAAATATTTTGGTGATTTCTTTATCTAATCTGGTGTAAATAATAATAAATATAACGTTTTTTAAATCAGGGACAGGATTAGGCTTAAGGTTAGATCTCCGATCATCCTAGTATTGCCTTATTCATGTTTTTTATTGGTTGATGACTACAATGCTCAAAACTATGTGGTTGGTACACATGTTCATGTTTTTTATGTTTCTTTCGAATAATGAGGTAGGTTGGGACATCTCCGGTCATCCTGGTATGCATACATTACTGATTTTAAACCAGGATGGTCTAAAACGACCAAACGATATGTTCAATACATAATTATATTTTTATATTTAATTTGACACATTGTGAGGTTGAAATGCGAAGTTAGTGTCCGAGCGGATCGAAGTCACGATAGCCCAAGTGGTAGAGTAGCGGCGTAATAGCCGAAGGTCGTGGGTTCGAATCCCACTCGTGACACTGACTTTTTTATTTCAACCAATACCTTTCATAAATATTAATTAATTGAAAAAGGTTAATTGGTCAATCGGACCACGAACGGTAATGGATTGTGAGAATAGTTGAGGTCATTGGTACGATGAACCTTCAAGTTTAGGTCATCTCTATCCTATATATTACACAGGGCGGGCGACCAGGACCCGAGGGGTTAAAAGCCTGAGTAGGCCCGTACCCCATCCCTAAAAGGTCCGGGACCTGGTCGGCTCACGAGTCCTGCATAAACCTATTGGACCTATTCACAAACCCCAGGATTGTGGACCATTTTATCCTGGGGAGTGTTTTGGTTATGTCCTCTCATTCGAAAGTATTAAATCTTTCCCTAGCATACCTATCGCATTCTGCGAGGTAGTGTCGGGCCGTTTCTTCTTTTGTTTCGCAGAAGCGGCAGAAGGGGTCTGGTAGAGTACCCATTATGAAGAGGTGTCTTCTCAAGGGGCAATGGCCCGTTAGGATACCTATCAGCCTCCATCTCTATCCTAGCATCCGTATATTCACTGGTTTGGAAATATTAAATTAGCATGATCCAAGACGACTAAACTAAATGGTTTAGGCTAATTAATGTTTATTTATATAAATAATTTTAAACTTTGTTATATTATTTATTGTGGTATGGGACATGATGAACTTGCAAGTTTGGTCATTTCTAATTAGCAACGTATGCATAGTCATTGATCACTCGAACCAGCATGATCCAAGAGACCAAACATACATTTTTGGTACAACCTAATATTTTTTCATAATTAATTTAAACATCGTGAGATTGATTGTTGAAGTCCGTGATACTGATGGGAAGATTGATATTGATCAACATTCAGGTTAGGTCATCTCTGAGCATTATAGCATCCGTATATTCTGGAGATATTAAATTAGGATGATCCAAGACGACTAAACTACATTTTGGTAAAATGTAATATTATTTCATATAATTCACTAATTTCGTGGTCCGCTTGACCAATTAATATATTACAATTAATTAAGGTTTTTAGTTGAGATAAAAAAATAATGGCAAAAAGGAGGGAAAATTCAAAAGGTGGGGTTGAGATGGGAAGTTAGTGTCCGAGTGGATCGAAGTCACGATAGCTCAAGTGGTAGAGCAGCGGCGTATCTAGCCGAAGATCGTGGGCTCGAATCCCGCTCGTCCCACTGACTTTTATATCTCAACTAAAAAACGTAATTAAGTGTAATTATTTCATATATAATTTTAAACATTGTGAGATTAATTGTTGAAGTCATATTCAAAGATTGATATTGATCAACATTCAGGTTAGGTCATCTCTGATCATTCTAGCATCCGTATATTCTGGAGATATTAAATTAGCATGTTTCAAGGCGACTAAACTAAATGGTTTATACTAATTAATGTTTATTTATATACATAATTTTAAACTTTGTGATATTTATTGTGGTATGAGACATGATGAACTTGTAATTTTGGTCATTTCCAATGAGCAACGTATGCATAGACATTGATCTGGCGAATCAGCATGATCCAAGGCGACCAAACATGCATTTTTGGTGCAACCTAATATTTTTTCTTACATAATTTTAAACAATGTGAGATTAATTGTTGAAGTCTGTGATATATGATTCAAAGATTGATATTGATCAACATTCAGATTCGGCCATCTCTGATCATTCTAGCATCCGTATATTCACATGTCAGGTGATATTAAATATGGATGTTCAAAGACGACCAAACTACATGGTTTGTTCAGTGAACATCGAATGAATAATCATTAATATGTTAGGTACCTTTTAATGTTTTTATTGAATAGTAAATATTGTATTACTAATAGTGAGTTTTGTGAGAGCGTGAATCGTCTAGTTACGTTATCGGCTATTATTCTTGTTGTTTTCTATGTTCTGTACAGGTTGTTATCATATAATTGTAAACAGTTTCAACGTTTGCGGGGAACAGTTATGTTTAAAGGGAGCATTTGGGACCTGGGGATTGCAAAACAACCCCCTTGGGTAATCCTGAAGCAACGCTTACACCTGGTTTATAATTAAGGGTTTGTCGGGGGCGGCGTGGAGGGTGGAAAAATAAACTCATGTCATTAGCGGTGTATTTAGGGGTGCAGGGGGCAGACGTGAGGTTGCAAGCATTATCCGTGCCGTTTTCCGGCCGAAATCACCGCCCGGATAACCGCGGCATCGGGCCGTTAAAATGTGTCCTCCTTGATTGTCGAACACGTCGTCGTGGCCGGGAGGAATTCAAATTCGAGTTTCATGTTAATGCCAGCCCACGAACGGGATCTTGTTTTCTTTAATTCTGCCTCGGGGCAATTTGGATTCAAGATGGTCTCGCTTACACCTCCCAATTACACGCGCCGCTGCCCCCCCCCCGGCCTTTTGCACTTTATATTTCGGCCTTTTTTTATAACGGAACTGCCCCCTTTTCCAAATATCATTCGGATTGCGGGGTTTGAATACTAAACAGGCGGATTTCATTGCTGTGTAGGTAGGTATATACAATTACAATGCATATAAATGAATCGGTTTATTCAATGAAATTCAAACACAAAGTTAGGAGAATTGCACTAGATCACGTTTCTCTCACAAAGTCTTAAAAATTTGGTTTAAAATCCTTTCCTTTATCCTATAATGTAATATTAAAAGTATTTAAAGACAGCAAAATTAATATCAGGTAGCTCCAGTTAAGCGAATTTGGGCAACTGAGAATCGTGTTAGTAAATCGTGAGCTGAATCCTTGTAATTGAATAATGTCATATGCTTATTTTCCAAGGTGATTAATGTAATCATAAGAATCATGTTTAATTGAATAGTCTCGTCCTAGAAAGCAGAGTGTATAACCATAAGTAACGACAGAACTCATAAATTTATAATCGTACTACTTTAAACTAGTAACTACAATTTCAACATAAAAAATATAAATTCACTAATTTCGTGGTCCGCTTGACCAATTAGTATATTACAATTAATTAAGGGTTTTAGTTTAGATAAAAAAGTCAATGGCACGAGCGGTATTCGAACCCACGATCTTCGGCTTGATATGCCGCTGCTCTACCACTTGAGCTATCGTGACCTCGATCTACTCGGACACCAACTTCCCATCTCAACCGCACCTTTTGAATTTTCCTCCTTTTTGCCATTTTTCTTCCTTAATTAATAAAAAATATAATATCAAGACTTTTTCTAGGTTGTTAGCAGACTTTGGATGTTTATTCGTTTCCGATCAATCTGGTCCGCCGGCTTTTGATCTGCCTGATGCGTTTCATCATTTCACCATCTTCAGTGGTGGTCGGTTTGTACGTTTACCACATTAAGGCAAGTTCTAATAATGGTTCAATAAAACCAAATCTATATATCTATCTAAAATAACCGAGACGGTTTTCAAGGTATACGAAAAAGTTGTAGGAATACTTTGACAGACCCATCCAAATAGTCCTACCCGATAAAACAACTATGGAAGAAAGGTAACCTCAAGTTAAAGGAAGAGGCCCTAATGTGGTACACGGATGGATTACAGATTGAACAAGCAGTAGAGGTAAAAGGGGTCAATTATACCCTAGCAAACACTTTGGACTGGTCCAAACGTCCGAGCTGAGATCCCTCTATTCACAGAAGTTAATTAAGAAGGATATGAAAAGATCACAGATTTACACACTTTCGGAAGCAGGTAGCTTATAAACAAACACACAGCGAGAATGTTTTTAGATTCAAACTAGTAAGGGAATGCCTATATTGCCTAATGGACCTAGGAAAACACAGTAACGTGCTGGCTTCAGTGACATAGGTATAGAATGAAATGAACAGGCTGACCCAGAACTAGCCACAACAGCTTCCGTGAGGAGAATCCAGAGAAATCAGCATACATTCTTTGTGAATGGGAGCACCAGGCTCGATGCGGTATAGTTACAAAAAAAAACCTAGTAGAGTGTTTCGTTTTGTAAAAAAAAAGCGCAATTACCAAGGTAATAATAATAATACTTTATTGCAAAAAAGAAAAGATAAACATTACATAATATATAATTTAAAGTAAAATTACGGCATGGAGGGTCCGTCTGCCGGAGGTCGATTTTCATTTGACTTAAATTTTTGGTCGACACAGAGAAAAAAGTACAAAAGAAAAAAAGAAAAAAAATTGATCCTTAAATAAATATTACAAATGATAATTTAATTTTTAATAATTACATTAATTACTAGCTTGTATTATAAACAATAATTTTTGTTCTTTGTTTATTTTACAATAAGTATAGATATATAAATTATTTGGGCCAACAATTTAGAATGACAAGGCTTTAAAATATTCAAAAATTAAATTTTAATATTAACTCTTGGCGATAGTGTCAGGCGTGGAGAGCATATTTGATTAAATTTTTGTAATCATTAAGCAGTAAGTCAATAACCTGTGTCACATTCAATTCGGCAAAATTTAGATGCGGAAGCCGAATCTCCGATAAG